AGAACACCAACCTACTCATTAACATTTTGTCACGCGCCACCACATTTTGTATACTCCACCATCTGCAGCAACCATCGGTTATCAACTCACACATCACTACTTGCTCCATCTCCAATGGATTGTAAATATAAACAAAATTCCTTAGTACACAAACATTCACCGAAGAAATTTCAACACTCTTGCTCTTCAATTTGTCGACATATAGGTAAGGCATTTCACAAATTTCTTCACACTGAAATTTTTCTCCCACAACCTTCCATATCTTCAATTGTTCAGCATTTTGGACATGTTTGAACAAACCAACCAAAATCAAATCGTCATTAGAAGTCCCAATATTGTAGTCGACAATGGATTGTCCAAGATTCAAATTATAGGGTTCAGACCAACATCGTATTTCCCTGTCAAACCAATAAGTCCGCCCCGTTTGCTTCTCCGTGACAAAGAGTTTTTCATTTGTGGTAGCTATTGAAAGGTAAATCGAGGCTTGCAAGTCTCTCAAATTCTCTGGCATGTTGTCACACGTGTGCCATGTACCTGTCCGAATGTTGTAGATCTCAACGGGTAATGGATCACTCCCATAATCGCATCCGCCACCCGCGACGATGATGAAGTCTCCAACACGTGCCACAATTGGGTCGTTCCGCCACCCGAATGGAGGGTACACGTGACTCCAGGTGAGATTTAAAGGGTCGAACGAATAGGACAATTTCAAAGAGGACAAGTCGTAAATAAAATTGGAGTGGGATGATTTAAGATTTGACATGCATTTGATCGAAGGACGAACCATTTTCATCCAAACGTGTGAACGAGTGTCGTACGCGTGCATGGAGATGTTGTAAGGGTGGCGAGTATCTTGACTGTGGAGCATGAGCCATGGTTTTGGTTTGTTGAGGTAGCGGAGAGAGGATTTCACCGCGCAACACCAAGACTTACACACGCGTGAGGCCGGCACCAAATCGACGAGTGGCACGTGGGAGAGGATGGCATCTAATATATCTCCACGAATTTCCTCCACTTCATCTTCTTCTGGTACTTGATCTTCAGTTCTTGCCATTGGGCAGTTGAAGACTTTCTTTTTTTATTCTTTTTTCTTTACAAATTAGAGACAGAGCATTGAATCTTGTATAATACTAAAAGGAAAATCATCTTATATTTAGGTGCTTAGTGCGGTGTGGGGGACCGGGGAGGGAGGTGGGTGAGAAATTAATATCTATTCCTTTTTTATTTTTAATTATTATTATTTTTTTAATCCATGTTTGGTTCAGATAAAAATAATTGATTAAAATCAAAGTCAATAATTATTTTTAATCATATATTTTACAGAATCCATAGCTTTTCAATTATATATTTTATCATTTTTTTATCAAAATATGCTAAAAATCGAATTATTATCTATATCAAATAGACGCTTGATAACTTTAATTGTTTTATGTAAAAAAATATTAGTTTATTCAAAATTGGTGACATGCTCGACTCTTGGTCACCTAACGATCATTTGGACAGAAATCGTCCAAAGGTCCTTCAAGTATATATTTATTAAATAATTTGAAATATATCTACAATAATATAAAGGTTTTAAACAGCGCTTTCCATACTTAAAAGGTTTGAAACAACTATCCATGTTGCACTTACACTTTTGTTGACATCTTTATTGACACTATGTGATATGACATGTAACCTGGTCATTTATTTGAATCACACTCATTCAAATTAATGGTCAAATTTTTTACACATCACACAATGTCAATAAAGATGTACAATTTGAATGTACAGATAGCTTAATTGATTGTATATTTCCTTATTTTTAAAGTAGATAGTGATATGTTTGTTGGATAATTATTTTAATATGTATAGTGGGGTAATGATGGCTATGTTCTTTTTCTTTTCTAAAATTATAAAGAGAGAAAGGATTGAGAGTCTTACCTGCCTATAATAGTAGGAATAATAACCCATCACGTATTTAAAGTTGACAATGTTGGAGGAGTATTTTAATACTTTGAAATTGTTAGGTTATGCAAGTTAATTTGATAAGTCATATTCATTACTTAATCTTTGTTATGTTATCTTATGTCAAGGAACAATAGTTTAATTTTGGACAACTTAAAATGTGTGGAGATGGTGAAAAGACATGTTGTTAGTTGGTCCATTCTCTAACTTTCAACAATCATGCTATACAAACAGATTCAAAAACAGGTGGACACGTGACGCAACATCATTGAACAGTTTTTTTTTTTTTTTTTTAAAGTAACGACGTGCTGCCAACGCAACACCAGTCACCGCCGCTGTTTCTAAACCATATTTGAGTAGCATTATTCAACTTCTAATCATTTTTTATAAGAATTTAAGGAAACAAAATGACGATAATGGAGAAAAAAGAAAAAATAATAATAATGTTTACTGTGGAATCTTCCCTATATAATAAAATTTCATATTTTTAAATAAAAAATAAAAAATAATATGTATTAGAGCTAAAAATATCAAATAAGCATCTGATATATACCTTTAAAATTAAAATGAGCAATAAATTCTAATATAAACGTTATGAAACGAGTCAATGTGTTTTGTGCGGCACGTGGAGGACTTGAGTAGCTATTATTAAGGCTTATTAGTACAAAATATCTCTATGATTGGCCTTTAGTGTATAAAATGTCCTTACATTTTAATTTTTTTCATTTTCACCCATATTTTCACATTTTACTATGGAAAATATCATTTTCATCAATTTTTATTCAATATCTCAATTAAAATTTGTAAAATAACAAATATACCCTTCAATTTAAATAAAACTCAAAGAAATGAAAAGAAAAATAAAGAATTAATTGCAATCATACTCCCAATTTTTTCATTCTTAACCATATTTTTGGATGAAACCACCATCATGAACAATATGTGTTAGTTAATGAAATGTTGAGGACAATAATACAATGAAAAAAAGGTGAAAACGTAAATATCAGAATTAGTAAAGTTTATGGACCTTTTATGCAATAAATGATTGGTTGACCATACAATGTAGAGTTTTGTTATACACACATGATCGGTGACCAACTCAAAAACGAGGCTTGATGTGGCTTCCATTCGGGCGTTAATTTTGATGGCCCACAATTCAAATCAAGGGTCGAGGTGTCGCCACCTCGGCCCCCTGTTTTTGGGTCGATCAGAGACCCTGTTTCTTTATCCTTTGTACAATGTTTTCATTTGTAAAATAATTATACACTTATTTCAAAAAAAAAAAAAGATTCCTTACGTTTTAACCACATATTTTTCCAAAAATTATTATTTTATATTATATTTTACCCCAAAAATGGGGATCAAACATGGGCATAATGTATCGTTTTTAAACGAGTGTATATGAGATTTGATTGGTTCAACGTATTTATTTATTATAATTATATAATTTATTATTTTTCATCTGTATATATCAAAGTTTTTACTCTATACCTACAACTTATGGAGTAGTCCAATATTTAAAGGTTGTACAAATAAATAGGTATTGGAAGAAATCATGTACAAGTAGAGGTTAATGTGGTTCGATTTGGATGGTTTGTATCATATTTTCAAATTAAATTATTTTACGCAATTTGGAATTTTCCCAAGCCACACCAAACCATTATTTATGGTTTCTTTCAATTTTAATTTGTGGTTTACATATCGACATTATAGTAATATATTTAAAATAAGTTAATATATAAGTTTGAAAGAGCTATTAATGTTAAATGTTAAATTACATTTATATTTGTTTGAAATTCAAAATACAAACAAAAAGGCTTTGGACATGATTTGCTACCATAATTTTGTTGAATTATGATTTGAATTGTTGAAATATATGCTTTTTTTTGTTCATTTCTTTTGATTTAGGCGTTATATTAGTGTAGTGTAGATATCGATGGGATCAAGATCTGTGTAGTGGACGTGTAAAACCATGGGCCAATAATAATGAACATAATTTACTTTATATTTCAATGAGTTGGTTGCAATTTTTATTGCTAAATTAGTATTTTCTTTTTTTGAAATCTGAAAACTGTAAAATTTATAATTTAATAAAATTAACCTTAAAAATTTTGAAAAACGGTTCGGTTGGATTTTGTACAATTTTTGAAAATCGAAACATAAACCAAACTATTTTGAAGTAATTTGATTCGGTTTGAGGAAAAAAAAAAAAAAAGCAGGGATCCACGGGACCCGAAACAATGGTTTCAAACCAATTTGCGTTCCAAGGTTTTTTGTGCGGCCCTATGTACAAGTTAAGTTAAAGAAAAGAAAAAAATAAATTTTTAAGTTAAAACCTATAATTGTATAACTATATTTTTTTCTATTTTTTAATTATTTTGTCTGTATAAACTATAAACAGATCATTCTGTGTAAATATAGACATAGATCTATTTCTAGTCTACCACCACTCATTTTAATAATTTTATTGTATTGAAAATAAATATAGAGTAATAGTTACATAATCTTTACCTAAATAGTTGGTTTAGAGGGACCATTTAATTAGGTGAAAATAAATAAATAAATGTTCCAAACCATAAATGAAAAGGCATGGGAGGACTTGGAAGCCCTCAGAAAATTATGGTTGGCACTCATCAAGTTTGAGTATTTGTTCAATTACCCTAGGAGATCTATTTGTATAACATTTATTAGCAAATTAATTTTATTTCTTCGATTTAGTTTTATTTAAGGTTTATTTTCTCATGTAGGTGCAACAAATTTGGTTGGTAGTATTTTAGTCCTTTTGTACACACAATTTTAATGGCGATAATTTAAACACTAACTATTGTAGCTCAAATGGGAGATAGGAGATATAAGAGAATAGAGAATAAAGGAAAGGGTTTCAAGACTTTGGCGCAAAGAATGCTGATTTTTGGCGCAAAACGTCATCTTTTTCTCATTTTTCCTTTAAAAGGATAATGTATTTCAATACTTTCTTGTGTTTTTCTTCTTTCATGATGAGTAACTAAATCATTAGTTCAGACAAATGAGGTAACCTAAATTCGAACTTTTAATTTCAATTCTCAAGCTTTGAGTAGTTAATTAATTCATTTATTGATTTTACCTAATGCTTGAATTACTTAATCACTAATTCATGATTTGTGAATAGTAACAAATCATGAGGTGGATTATGAATTTAAAATATGTACTATTATTCAACAATTTGGTAAAAAGTAGAGATAAATTTTTATTATTATTGTGGTCTTTAATTGAATTCTTAGGTGATATAATGGGTTTATTAATGCTTATTCAAACTCACCTTATGATATAGTTAGTCATGTCAAAGAGTCGAGCCGAGTCACGATCCGAAACTCGAAGCTTAGGCTAGCCTCAAGCAAAAAAGGTTCAGGATTTTTTTGGCCCTAGACAAGCCGAGCAAAAGCTCATCTAAGGCTTGAGCCTTAGTAGGCCGAGCCAGCTCGGATTTTTTTTTTCCTTTCTTGTCAAAGCTGCCTGCAAAATAGCTGCTCCAACGTGTAGGATTGTTTCATTATTTTCTTCTTCCTACAAGCCACAGCTGTTGTTTTCAATTTTTTTTTTTAAACGACCTCAGCTCGTCCAGCCTGGCTCGGGCTCGGGCTCAAGCCTTTGCCCCAAAATGGGGCTCGGTGGTTCGAAACCAAGACACGGGTGGACAGAGTCAACGAACCATTTTGCCATCCCTAGATATAGTGAGTTAAGTTAACTAAGAGAATTGATTTGAACTTGAGAGAGTCAAATTGATTTATTTGTGAATTCGACCGGTTACAACTTTTAAGAACTGTACTTGAGAAGAAAGACTAGAGAGGATAATTAACATGAAATCATGAGTCATAACGCTTTGACTGTCATATGTGATAGTTTAATCAAAATTATCCACAATCCAAAGAAAACACTTCCATTTAATTGCTTTTAGCTTCCTTAGTTAATGTTTGTTTTAAACAAAACTTTTGCCTTAAATTTTGTTTTAGTGAAACAAAGGGTATGATTGTTTAAATTGATATTTGAATAAAATAATTTATGTGCGACGAGAATCCAAATTCTTTAGGTCCATTTTACTATTTGTTTAATTAACATCATATATTTATA